TGCAAGAATGGCTCAGGTGTGGGAACGATTGTGAGGATGGTCTAGGACCATGCAGTGTGTCGTTCTGTTGTGCACAGGATTGCCACGAGTCAGAACTAACCCAGTGGCATCTCACAACAACACAGAAATGTATGAATTCTTCGATTTGGCAATTGACTCAAGTTGAGCGTGTTTCATCTGCTGAAATTTATATTTGCTTTAAACAAACAAAACAACCACTCTGTTCATATTCTTTCCCATTTTTCTATTAGGCTATTTGTGACAACGGTGTGGAGGAGGCCACCTCTGAGCTCCTCTGACCTCCCTATTTCCATGGCAGGGGCCAGACATGCCTCCTCCCTCCAGCCTTCTTTACCTGCCCTGACTCCAACTGCTTGGAGCTCTACTTCTATGCTGGGATCTATTCTGTTCCATTTGTACCAGTACTAGATGACCAAAATAAACAAGCTGACTGCCACCGAGTCAATGCCGACTCACAGTGACCCTTGAGGACGGGGTAGAACTGCCCAGTGGGTTTCTGAGACAGTTACTCTTTCGGGAGTAGAAAGCCATTTTTCTCCTTCAGAGCAACTGGTGGTTTCGAACTACAGGACCTTGTAGTTGGCAGCCCAATGAATAACCACTACTCTACCAGATCCTTGGACTGCATGAAGGAGCCCTAAAATGTTGGTGGAACTGGGTAGAGAGTAGACATGTGTTAACTTGGGTGAAGTGCAAGGCAAAAGACAGTAAGTGAAAGGTCAGCAAGACACGACAATGGTAGGGAAGATCAAAGAGAGGAGTGCAAGAATTAGACAATGGAGGTAAATCCCGCCATATACACAATTGACAGTAATGTCATCGGCAAACAGGTGTTTGGATAGACACGTAGGCTGAAAGGTATGGAGGGAGACAATGGGTGTGTACCAAAAGATACTTACAGGTTTGACAGAGAATACTGATACGTGGGCATTTACCTTGGCGGCAAATATATTCATGGGTGTGGTGGAGCATAAAGCTGCCAACGTGATGAAAACTTCTTGACTGTAACAACTGAATACCTTGAAGGAAGGATCCTTGGGTCTAGGGAATCAGGACCAGTCCAGAGGGAACTAAGGTCACCTGACATGGAACTATCATTATGTGCAGGTGATATGGTTCTTTATTTGGACAATGAATTGTTTCCATGGAAAACTTCAGTGCACTAGTCATCACCAAAACTGGCAAATAGATCAGTTTGCCAAAATTAATGATGTTTATTTACACCAGCAATAAACTTAAAAACTAGGTAGCACTTAAAAGTGGATAGAGGAACCCTGGCGGCACAGTGGTTGCATGTGGGGCTGCTAACCACAGGGCCAATAGTTCGAAACCACTAGCTGCTCTGAGGGAGAAGGATCCCGTAAGTCTTTCTGCTCACGTAAAGAGTTACAACCTTGGAAACCCACAGGGGTCGTTCTACCTGTCCTACAGGATCAGTGTGAGTCACCATTGACTCAGTGGCAATGGGAGTAAAATTATAATCAAAGTATATAATATCTAGGAATCATCTGACCCAAGAATCCACAAAGCCTCTCTGGGGAAAAGTTGAAATGTTCCAATAATGGCCATAGAAGAGAAACTGGATAGGACGATTTCATATTATAAAGATGTCAATTTTAATGAATTTGATATGCACTTTGTTGCCATCACAATTGAATTTCCAAAGGGATTTGGGGGAGAAACTTACTTTAGAATTAATGTGAGATAATAGAGCACACGCTTAAAATCATGGAAGAGACCAGGCCATGAATAGCTGGGTCAATCTTAACAAAGACAGGGAGGGCGACTGGCCTTTTCAGACATATTCCAAAGGCCAGGGAAGTAGAGACCACGAAACTTGAACAAGAGGAGGAGACAGTAGAAAAAGAAGGGCTCAGAGGAATGCATGTCGTGTGTGTGTGTGTGTGTGTGTGTGTATGTACATACTGGCATCTGAGTACCTCATAAGGGTGCCCATCCATCCCTGAGGGAAGAATGGGTTGTAACTATACAGAATTGAGAAGACTGGCTAGTTGTGTTAGGGTGGACTAGAGACAGTATCAACTTCAGAGAAACTCGTATGTGTATAAGAAAGAGCTTTCTATAAGAGCAATTGTATATTGAGAAAACATCCCAGTCCAGTATAGATCAAGTCCGTAAGTCCGATATTAGCCCATATGTCCGATACCAATCTATAAATTCCTCTTCAGACTCATGCAACACATGAAATGACACCAAATGCAGGAAGATCACAGATCAGTGAGTGGGGTCTTGTGGATCCAGTGGCGGAAGTATCTCAACACTGGTAGGGGTCTCCACTCGGCTCCTCCAGCTCCAGGGCTCTAGCGTAGCTCCATGTATCTTGTCAGCAGGAAGACGAAGCAGAGCGTCTTGTGTATCTGGCCTCCAGTGAGCTATTTATCTCTGTTGCACCTCCAACTGAGGTCATCAAGCTGGACCTGTTTGACAGGCTAGGCTCCACCCCTTCACAAATTGATACCAGATTATGTAACTCACACTTACTATATGGAGAAAATGGATATAGAAAATGGATTCTATTTAATCCAAGAGGGGTTAACGACCTATATATGAAAGGTTACACTAAAAAGTAAAATGGAAGAAGAGGATTTCTGCAACAGAACTGCCAAAGCACAAACTAAAAGGAAAATAATTAATCTGATTATATCATTCAATGACAGACATCATGGATACAGTTAATAGACCAATGACAAATTGGTGAAAGATACTTGCAATGTTCCTAACCTATAGGGAACTGTTATCTAGAATGTACAAGAACCTCCCAGTACATTCAGCCCCAAACAGAACAGGCACCATCAGGGGAAAGTGGACAAAGGCTATAAAAATCCAATTTGAAACTCACAATACCAAGCTTCTGAAGAGATCCACCAATCCCTTAGTCACTGAAGAAATGCAAATTAAAATAATGATGACTGGCAAACAGGAAACTGGATTCAGAGGTGCCACCTTAATTGAGTATTACCTCAACTAACTGTGATCATGTAGAATGAAAGAAAGAATTTTACTTTTCTGGTAGAAAATCCAGCCTGTTAGGTTCCAGAGAAGGGCTATATGTATGTTTTGGTGCAAGGACAGTATCAAATATAATTCATGTGTTGGGGTGTGTATACTGTTGTTGTCAGGTATAGAGTTGGTTCTAAAGCAGAGCCACCCCTTGTTCAACAGAACAATACACTGCTGCCCAACAGTAGGTCAGATCAGTGGTAGGCATTGTCCACGTGCACGCTAGGCTTTCGTGACAGCGAGTAAAAGCTTTCCTAAGTTAAAAACAAATGATATCTTATATTTTTACAGGGGAGCTGAGGAGGCTTTGCACTCTCATCGTTAGTCTCGGGGCGGTTCTACCCTGTCCTGTCGATCACTCAGTCGGAATCAACTTGACAGCAGTGATTCTGGTTTTATGTGAATGTTCACACAGCAGATTAAGTTCCCAGTTAACAATTTTTATTGCAATTGTTCTGTGACATTGTTTGCATCTTCCACTATGTGTCAACATTCCCACTGCTTCTACTCTGTTTGTTCTGTTTCCCCAGAGGACCCTCCTCACCCTCTTCTCTCTGCTGGAGAATATATGTGGGTCATTTGGTGTCACAGGGTGGATTGTCTAATGGAGTGCAGTGCTCACAGCAATACTGTTTGTTTCGGTTTGTACTAACGTCCTTATTTTTGTATTATATTGTTTCTACTTTATTCTACACAGTATTGTCTTGGGCACTTTTATTTCAGGTACGTATGTGTGTGCTCCTGTCCTGGATCACTATGTAAAATGGAGTTCTTATTCTAGGTTGCAGTCTGAGGCTTGAGAGATAAATTGTTGAGAATTTGACTGTATGTACAGAACTTATTTTGTAGGCAAGTTGGCAACTAGCTAGAGAATAATATAGTTAAGAGTGTTTTAGAAACATGAAGGTGGCCCCATTGCAAGACTGGTAGGAACAGAGACCGGGTGGGGGGTGGGGCAAAAAGGTCATATAAGTACCACTCTGATAACAAAGACTGGAATGAGGAGAGGAACTGTGGAGATGAAAAGGGTGTCAGAGAACATGAAGAGCCTTTTGGAATTGAGAGGGACCTTGAGAACCAACACCATCCCATCACCTTATATATCAGAATAAAGGCCAAACCCACAGAATTCCAGCTCATTCAGATTCACCGTCACCCAGGACAGGGAAGACTTGCCCCACAGGGTTTATAAGGCTGTAATGTGTAGGGAAGTAGCCTGCCACTTCTTTGTCCCAGGGAGTTGCTTGGTGATTTCAAACTGTCAGCCTTGCAGTTAACAGTTGAGCACTTTAAACAGGGCACTGCCAAGTCTCCTGGGAAAAGTAATACCACCCCCACCCCCTCCCCACCAAACCAAATCCACGGCCATAGAGCGCTTCCGATTGATAGTTGCCCTGTAGGGGGATTTGAGACAGTAAATCTTTGCAGGAGCAGAGCGCAACTGTTGCAGGAGGGGGCTGGTGGGTTTCCAGCTAGCGCTTACCGCCAGCGCCAGCCACAGGGGCTCCAGTGGGGGAGCAAAGGGGAGCCGAGAGCTAAAGGAACCCTCCTCCTGAGTGACAATGCATCGGCTCAGCCCAGGAAGCCCACCAGCAGGGGGCTGTTAATCCGGCTATTGTAAAAACCACAGGCAAGAATTTCTGCGACCCGGAAAGTACTTTCTACTGCTGAGTCCCATCCTGTACGTCTGAACGCCAGTCGGCTTATCCCAGGGGTGTTCGCAAGGTGTGTCTTGATCCAGGATCTTCTCTTGCCCCACCTCCGAAATGGGTCGTTGGGAATCCTACATCTAGAGCATTGCTGTTTGCTGCCGTGGAATCGATCTTGCCTCCTGGTGACCCAACCTCTTGGTAACCTCACGTGTGCCAAGTAGCATTGCTACACTGGGTTTTCCAGGTTGTGACCTTTGGGCTGTTATCGCCAGCCCTTTCTGAGGGGTCTGTGTGGAAGACCACCCGATGGGATTTCGTAGGTGGTCGGTCACCTTTCCGAGAGGTGACCGCCACATCCGGAGCCGGCTGGTGGGCTAGCAGCCACACTACGCCACCCACGGTTGCTTGACTGGAGAGCACCCCCCTCATTCACCACCAAGCCCTCCTAGGAAGTTTGCTACTCTTGGCAACAGTGGAGACCTGACACTGTTGATTTGCTTGTTCGATTTCCCACTGCAACGCCTTAAGGACCACGTTCCGATCGGTCGTCCACAGCCCTTCCCGCGGCGGCCGGCCGAGCGGACAGGAATTGGGACTTGGGAGCGAAGCCTCGCTGCCGTCAGCACTCCGGGACCCGGACCACAGAACTTCCGACTGGCGGCGCTTCCGGAAGCCGCTGGGAACCCCGAGCGCCTCCGGCGGACGACGCTGACAGCGTCCCCGTTCCCCGGCAACGAGCCGGGCCGTGACGTCACTTCCGCGGACCCGTCCGGACTCCCGGCCGTCGAAAGGAAAAGAGGAAAAGGGAGCTGCAGCCACGACTGTGGACGCGAGCGGCTGCGGCGTGCGCATGCGCCCGCGCGGCGGCCTGCTTCTATTTATGTGGGGGATCCAACATGGCGGCCGCGGCAACCGGGGCGATGGCGGCGGGGCCGGTCCGCACGTAGTGGCGGGGCGGCGGGCACGG